ATTACATACTATTCCTATATGTTACAATCCTTTCTAACTTTAAATATAACTCAAAATATACTTCAGATACTGTTACTATTAGATTATTTTTAAGCATTATATATATAACTTTTTATTTTACTATACTATACAAAAATGCTGAATTGAAAGGCATCAAAACTAGACTAACATTTGGCAATTCAGGTTAGTACAGTTTATGACAAAATTATTAGTTTGGCATTTTTGCTTAATGAGCAGCTATGATTTTATTATTAAAATTTCCAGTACTTTTGGATAAAATCACTTAATTCCTATCTAGCCAATTAGCCTTCTGACCCAGAATCTCCTATATGAGTTTATCTTACTTGATTAATTTCTGAAAGTTTTAATACAGGTTCATGTAATAGAGTAGATGTTGAAGTTGCATCAAACACTTTATCTATTCTTGTCATCATTCTGTTTCTAATATTAGTTGCCAAATCTAATATCATTTTATGATGCACTAGTTACAAAGCAATATCAAATTCATTATCCAGCTGTTTGAATTGTATTAATCAGTTTGGTAATAAATTATCTGCTATTATTTATTATATTAAACCAATTTATTTGTATATATATAATCTGTTATTATTTATTTATCTCAATTGAAAAATAAAAAAAAACATCATATTAATATGCCTAAGAATGACTTCAAAATTCAAAAAAGGAAATTAATAATTAATTAAGTAATATTGTTTAAATTTCAGAGCCATCCTAAATCATGCCTATAAATTTAAAGTAATAACATTACCATCTTTGTAATTTAACAAAAAACTATTATTTTCATGAACTGGTAAAGAAATATTATTTTTGTGAACTGGTAAAGAGATATTATTTTTATGAACTAGTAAAGAGATATTATTTTTGCAAGTTGGTGAAGAGATGTTATTTTTGTGAACTGGTGAAAAGATACTATTTTTATGAGTTGATGAAGAAATATTGTTTTCATGATCTAGTAAAGAAATATCATTTCTATAAATGTTATTGTCATTTTCATTATCTGACAAAGAAACTTAAGATGCAATATCATTATTTTCATAACCTATTAAAGAGGTAGTATCATTTTCATATTTTTGAATAGAATTATATTTTCGTATTTTATTTGAAACTGAAGAACTTGTAGCTTATTGGTTTGGTTTACATTTTTGTATTCTCTTGAGAGCTGAATTTGTAACTTTATTATCTGGAATGTTAATAAGCAAGATACAGTAATAAGTTAGATAACAATGAAAATAAATAATACTCTTATATAACATACCTATTTGCTTTTTAGCTATAGTTTCTTTAAATGCTTTTAATTCTATTATAAAAAATATATTTAAAAAACCATCAATAAACATATAACAACATTGTTTTTATAATGTTACTAAAAAAAGTTGTCAAGAAGCTTTAAAAAACTTTAACATACTAATTACTCATTTAGGCATATTGACTTAAAGTTGAATAATGATCTTTCAATACACTTTACTATTTTTTTATTGACAAAATAATTGGATCTCTTTTTATGTATATTGTAAGCAATTACTATTATATAATATATCCTTAATGCATCTGTTAAAATATATTATTATACTATTTTTGTATATATGTTATTTACCTGATTATTAGAATTAATCAACAATTAGTCATACAGTTTATTCTTGCATATTAATTTTCTAATAGTTATTTTCTTAACAAGTTATTTAATTGACATCATATTATGTAAAATGTTAGTAACAAAATATAAATGCAACTAATAAATGCTAAATTATAATTATAAATGATGTAGATTAAGTGGCTTGTCAAGAAAATAGATTATCCAAAGTTTAGCAATATAATTCAAACAAATTATACAATGAAGATTGTTTAGAAGTATGTAGTTATTTAAAAATATATTATATATTAAGTATTAGAGCTATTAATGAAGTACACTACACTATATTAATTATTTAAAAGCATAATTAATTAATAATGTATATAATGCAAAAAATAATAAATAAATAAAGTAGTTAAGATCAATCAAATGATCTTGTTTCTTTTTATTATTACCTATCATTATTACTTATTAATACTTAATCAATAGGCAAAAGATATAAATAACATTACTAAATAATAAAACATTTGAATAGAACTATTTATATATATACATTAGTACCAAAATTACATATTAAATTGAAAAAAACAAAATATAAAGAAATAAAAAAAACTTCAGTATCAGATAAATTTTCAGAGCATAGTAATTCAGAATATACTTATTGGTTCTCTGAAGAACATTTAAATGAAAAAACTGCAAGCATATTGGCTACTAGTCATATCTTGTTAAATAAGGTTAGTATATGTTCTAAATATATTATTAAAAAATAAATTAAGTTGCTTGTAAAACTAACAAAAAATAGTTATAATTATTATATTAAGATATTAAGAGAATAAATTAAAGTAATATATAATTTGTAGTCTAATTAGTTTTACAATTTGAATCTTTGTAATTAATTTTATTTTTTAGGCTTTTATCTATAAATTCCTTATTATTTTCATTAGATATTAATATAAAAGTTTAATTATTTAATAAGCTCAGAAAAATGCTTGATTACAAAGGTATCAATAGCTACCATCTTTTGCAGACATCTTCAGCTAATATTATAGAAGTTCTAGTTAATTATGAAGAATCTGATGTAGATTCATTATATGAAATTACTGATAATAA